TCATTGTATCTATTACTATATATATATTTTTTCCAATACCTTCAGTTCCAACAAGGCTGCAAGCGACCACTATTAGTGGTCGCTTGCAGCCTTGTTGTAACTGAAGGTATTGGAAAAAGGTATTGCAGCCTTGTTGTAACTGAAGGTATTAGAGTTGTAAGTTACTGGAAGAAAAAAGATAAAGTTTATAGAGCAAGATAACAATTAACAAACAACTTAAAATATTGCAAATTATATGAAGCAGGAAAACAAGATGAAGGAAGCAAATTCCAAGGAACTGATGTTCGAGGAAAAAAACTAGACAAATAAGAGTTTTTAGAGCACTTAGGAACAGTCACAGTAAAAGGATGAGACAATAGAATGACAAGTAATTTTAATTTTAGTAGATGGCACAAGAGACACTAGATCTTTAGAGTAGTGCTGATAGTATTTATTGAAAAGAGAAAGAGAAGCAACATTACAACGATGTGGTTGAAGGTTGGCTGCAAGAGCAGTCAACCTTCACCGCCTCAATTTACACAGCAAAAAAATACAACAAAAACAGTTTAAAAATTTTTTAAAACTCTCACTATGTTTTCAATGTGTTTTGCATCTTATCTAAGATAGAAAGAGCATCATTGGAAGATCTGCCCCAGATATGGCAACAGTATTCCATACAAAGGCGGATTTGAGATTTATAGAGATAAAAAATAGAATCTGGAGTAAGAAAGTGGCGAGCATGATCATAAGATGCAACTTAGCAGATACTAATTTTGCAATCAATTTGATATATGGCTTCCAAGAAAGATCAGAAGTAAGAGTTATTCCTAGAAAATGAAGGCTAGATGACTCATCAATTACATTACCGTTCATAAATATAAGAAGATCTAGATTAATGCGATAACAATTAGCTGAAAAAAATTGAGTTATCTCTGAGTTAAAGTTCACTAGCCACTGTGAGCCCCATGCTGTAGCAGAAATGTTCACCAGCCACTATGAGCCTCATGCTGTAGCAAATGCCTCTTCCAAGGAATCAGAGAGTGTTTTCTTCTTATAGAGACAAGAATAAATGGTTGTATCATCAGCGAACAATGCTACCTTAGATGTGAGAATATCTGGTAGATCATTAATGTAAATTAAAAATGTGAACAGGATATGAAGAAGAGTGCTGTCCATCGAGGACAACTTTAAAGGGATCCCCAAGCGTCGAGACAAGTTGTGTTCATATCAAAGATAAACACTAGAAAATAAGTTAAATGTTAATTAAACCTTCCAAAACTCATTATTGAATGAGATATTAACAAAAGCATTTGTTATTTTCAAGGCTGTGGAGTCGGAGTTGCGGAGTTGCAACATTTTTAGCAGAGTCAGAATCGCTAAACAAAATTGCAACTCCGACTCCAATAGTAAAACTTCTCTGTATTGCACGTGCATGTACAAAACATTCAATTAACCTTATGTTCATACTAAACCTTAAGAACATTTCATAAATTTGTCAAAAAAATTTTTTTTACTTATTGCGTAATATTTTTTAAAGAATTCAAGAATTTTTCAAAAATTTTGCTTTGGAGTTGTAGTCGGAGTTGGAGTCAGAGTTGTACTCAAAAAATTTCAACAACTGGAGTCGGAGTCGTTACTTTTTTTTTTTATGACTCCACACCCCTGGTTATTTTGCCATTATACTTCCAGTTCAGAGCCTAATTTTAGGCTCTCAAATCTCCATAATTTTTTCTGTTAAAAAAACGTCTGGTTTCAATAATAAATTTTTTTGCTCAACACAGAGTTTTTTAATCAGTTCAGTTTTACATAATCAGGTTGGGTTTTCCCCTTTAAAAATAGTCTGCGGTGGTTTTAAAAAATGTTCGCTTTTTGTTCAATCTATCGTTAAGTGTTTGAGTTAAATAAAATAGCATGATAAAAACTGTGATTAAGTGAAGCGAACTTTAAAATGCAAGATGAATATTTTTATAAAACAAGTAATCAATTTTTTTATATACATCACTAAGTACAATATAATCCAACATGGTTAAATTTTGTAGGATTTAAAAAATCTTTTTCTTTTTTAATAAATTGAGGAAACCGTTTTAAAAATGATTTTATATAATTTTTAACTTATGTTAATAATAATTTATATTTTTAATTCAAGAAATCGTTTTAAAATGATCTAATATATTTTTCAGATATATATAAAATTAATAAACTTGAATCTTATATTTTTGTTTAACCGTCAAAGGGGAAACCCCCTTGAAACAAAAGAAACTTTTTGTATTGATGTCAAATATAAGCGCATTAATCAAAGAGCCGGAACTTTCCTTTACCAGAAACAAAATTGCGTTAAAAATTAAAAAGTTTTTTGTTAATATCTCATTCAATAATTTGTTTTGGAAAGTTTAATTAACTTTTAACTTATTTTATGTTTATCTATGATATGAACACAACTTGTCATGACGCTTGGGGATCCCTTTAATAATACAATTGGAAAGGAAGGATTCAATAATCCTTAATATGTTACCTGATACGCCATAAGAAGAAAGCTTATGGAAAAGACCAGCATGCCAAACTTTATCAGAAGCTTAAGAAATGTCAAGAGCAATAATCTTAATCTCTCTACATCGATTGACATTACCGTAACCGGTTACGGTTACGGTAATGTCAAGTGCGATAGCCTTAGCCTCTCCACCTCTATCTAATGCACGGTAAAACCTATCGGTTATTACTGTTGGCAAATCAGCTGTGGAATGAGAAGATCGAAATCCATATTGATGATCAGAAAGTTATTAGATTTAAGATGAGAGGTTAAGTATTTTTTAATTAAAGAATCAAAAACATTGCTTATGATAGGAAGAAGACTAATTGGATGGTAGTTAGACAAGTCAGATCCTCTCTCTAGAATTTTTGAAAATAGGAATAACAGATGCTGCTTTCCAGCCTCCTGGAAAGCAGCAACAGATTTACCTTTATTATAGATACTGTTAAAGATTCTCTAGAAGTCACGAGAGTCTAATTTATTTTATTTTTCATTGTGTTCATTTTACTGTTTAAAATGTTCTGAAATTTTTTGATAAAAACAGAGCACAAAAGCATGGTCATAGAAATGTTGGAAAAAGTTAAATAGAATGAAAAATTAGCTCCTAAAGATTTCAATAAGTTTTAATCTTATAAATTGCAATAAATACATTATTTTGGTTTGAAAAAAATGATGTTAAAATAATGACTTGGTGACAACACTCACAATTCTTTATCATTCACAAATAAAAATGATAAAAAATTATCCTAATAACTTAAATAATCTTGACAATTAAACTAGAAAAATATGTGATGATAAAAGTAATATAAAGTTTTAGAAACAATTGCAAAAAATTATATATATTTTTATTTTATTAAATGTTTAAATTTATGAAAACCTGATCATGTGAACCTGTGAAAAACCTTTGAAACCCTTATAGAATAGAAAAATCATTGTTATTAAAATTTTTTACTTTAAAACAGTGTAAAGTATTTAGTATAATATAATTATATATTATGATAATCAAATAAAGCTGTATTCTTTTCTTTTTTTTTTAAAAACAAATAAAAATTATTAGTTTTTTTATCAGGTGAAGAATTGGGTCAAAGAATTACGTAAAATGTTAGGTGAAGAAATTTGCTTGTGTATAGCAGGTAAATGATAAATTTATCAATAGTTTTATTTTTGCTACCAGTTGTATGCTTGTTACCATTATTAAGTTTTTTACCAGTGATATTTATAAACATTCCCAGTGGTCACAAGACGTTTTTTAATGTTTTAATCTAAAAAACATATTAAAACATTTTAAAATGTTTTTAGACATCCAAACACATCTTGTGCCACTTGGGTTACAATAGTTTCTAACCAATTGTATTTTTGTAGTGGTATGTTTCTTACCAATGATATATTCATAACCAGTAAAAAAATTTTACCGCTGATTAGTGATGCACCAATTAAAAAGGCCAATTGTGTCTAATAAAAGGATTTAATGTATGTATATAAAGTTAATATATTAGTATTAGGTATGTAATTTGCATATATAAGTTGTGCCTATGCACCAGTAGTGGTTTTGCTTATTTGCCAATGTCGATCCATCAGCCAATGGCAATTAATTGGCTTAACTATTAGCTGATAATTGGTTGATTAATCAGCTGATAGTTATGCCAATTAATCAGGATTAGCTAATGCGTTGACATTAGCTATTAGCCCAAACCACCACTTGTGCATAGACACAACTTATATATGATATGAATAAATTGCATATCAAAACTTTCAATTGTGGTTGAAAATTATAAAAGATAATGTTTTTTTCAAAAAGGACTCTAAAAAAAGAATACAAAAGTTGTATAAAAATTAAAAAAAAAAAAATTATTTACTTTTTTTTAATTAAGTTTATTAGAAACATTAAAGGTTTTCTTGCTTTCCTGTGCATTGATAAAAACAGTAAAGTTTAGCAAAGACATTTGAAAAACAAATTATAAAATTGTTTGTGTTTTTAGCGCAAATTATAAAGTATTTCCTTAATATATACTTACTGAAATAAGTTAAAATAACTAAAATATACTTACTGAAATAAGTTGTGAAAAAATTGTGTATCAAAAAAAAGATTTTTTTTTCGTTATATTCTTATCTAATTTTTTCCTCAACTTGTATCAATTTTGGTAGTGGGAAATAACAAACGCCCTAAAAATAAGAAAACAAAAAGAGTAAATATTTAGGTATATCATTTTTTTGACAACAGTTTTCTTTTTTTAATATTCAGTTTTTTTTTAGCTTATTTTAGATTTTTTATTTTATATAATCTTTGGATATTTTCTTTGATTATTGCTGTTTTCTTCTCTAGTTTCTTATAGCTTTATTTTGCCGCAAATTCTTAAAACACTATATAAAAACATGGTCAAGTTGTCTAAAAAAATTACTTTAAACGTGGACAAACAAGGCGTGCGACCGCATGCGCTTCTTGGGAAGGCTTGAAGTTGGGATTGCTTCTATCACTGTAGTATTTACACACAACTCCTATCACTTTAGAGCTAACTCCCTCACTCTGAACTCTACTTCAATCATTAAAAGAATTAACTTTGATTACATTTATTAACCTATTTATCTATTTAATTTTCTAAAATTTTGTATCTGCATACGTTACCATTTTCTTCAGTGTCTGCATATTGACTTTACCTCTTTCTTTATTTGGATATTTACTTAATCTCTTTAATAATATTTAGGGAATAAAATTGATATGGAAAAAGAAAGACATGTGCTGGTTTCTGAAGCAGAAGAGTAAGTTTTTCACTTTTATCTCTTTAATTTTTTTAGAATATTAACAAAACTAATATCAATATCTATTCAAGACACAGATGATATGTCCTCTGAAAACTTATTGAGTGTGATCACAGATGACATGTCCTCTAAAAAGTTATTGAGTGTGAGAGAAATAAATTGGAAGATTGTCTAATATAAAAGTAAAAATCATTGATTTTAAGTTTTTTTTTTAATTTTATTACAGCCTAGTTTTTACTTTTAAATTGGTACAGTGTAGGTTTTTTAAAATTAGCACATTGAAAAATTTATATATAATTATAAATTTATATATTTTATTAACATTAATACATAAGCCTTTGCAGACATTTTTTATGTCTATATCTTGAAGTAATTGTAACTTGTACTATGTTTTTAATTTTTTATTAGATTTTATTTCTTACATAAAAAAATATTTAAAAAATTAAGTTTTTACCTCAATAATTACATGTGATATGGAGAAGCTATCAATAAAAGAATTTTAAGTTACTATTTAAATGTAGTTAATGGTAAAAAAAAGATGACTATTAAACACTTTAAATATAAAAAAGTACCTGAAAGAAAAATTTATTGGATTATGAAAAAGCATTAACGTTCTTCAACAACTGCAGATTTACCAAGAAGAGGCCGCTCTGTCAATTTAGAGTCTGGCAAAGTTAAGAGATTTATAAAATCTTTCAAAAACAAAGATGGCAAAAAGTCAGAGAACTGAAGCTAAAAATTTAATATTTCACAAAGTGCAGTAAGTCAATATTAAAAAAACATAATTCAAGAAAAAAAGTAAAAGCACCATTAACAAGTGAAAACCAGCAAGAAAAATTATCAGAGCCTCAAGAAAGTTAGCAACAAAATCTTTTGTCGGAAAAACAATAGTTATTGATGATGAAAATTTTTTTACCTTAAACAAAAGTGAAATAGCAGGTAATGATGGTTATAATATTGATTATAAAAGTTCAGCTCCTGAAGATATTAAATACAAAAATAAATTGAAATATGAACTAAAGGAATTAGACTAGATAACGATTTCCAAAGATGGTTTCTCAGAACCATTTATAGAAGAGAGCTAATAATGTCAAATTTGTTTAAGCTAATAATGTCAAATTTGTTTCTATAGGATGATAAAGTTAAATTAATGTTTATATTTTTAAGAATTAGTATTAACTAAAATATATATTAGTAATAAGACTGCTTACCAACTCTTTAAGGAATTCAAGTGTTTATGTATATATCATATACTCGTCATCTCTTTATTCAGGTAGTTTTCCTGGGTACTCATAATTAGTGTTCGGCAAAATCAAATATACGTCAAACCTTTAAAGATTTGAATTTGAACTGTTCTTTGAGGGGATAGATTTGAATTTAATTTGACAAATATCTGGAGGATTTGGATTTAATTTTCAAATATTCACTTTGTTCTCAATTTTTGCGTTTGAAAAAAAAACGCCAAATTTTACAGGCCCGCAAACATATATATCACTTTATTCCGGGGTCTTTGCAGTGGTTTCCGGAATGGCGGTCGCATTTCAATAACGGAAAAAAAAAAAAAAAAAAAAGAGTTTTTAATTAAAGTTTGTTAATATTAAAGAGAAAGTAAAGAGCATAGAGAAAGAAAAAAAGAAAAGAAATGTAAACAAAGTACAAGATTAAAAGAAAAAACGTAGAAAAAAATATATGTAAAAATGAAAAGAAAAAATTGCAAATACAATTTAACCACAATAAAAATGGAAAAAGTAAAACAATAACGAATCGAAAAACATTCAGAGAAAGAAACAATCATTCGAAAAAAGAAAATAATAAAAAAATATAATAATGGCTTGCTTGAAAGCAAAGAATTTTTTTTTTTAATTTTACTATAACTTATTTTTATATTTCCAGGTTTCAGGTAGATTTCCTAATTTATTTATTTGTTAATCTTTTTTTTGTCGGTTTAAGTTTGCGGTTTTGTTTGTAGTATGTTTGTGAAAACTTGTGTTGTTGTTGCTATTGTGTTTGTATTGTTTGCTGTTACTGTAGCTGTTTTTGTAAATTTGATCTGTTTATGTATGTTTTTTTTTTTTTTTTTTTTAAACTATATTATGATTATTTCTATTTTAATATTCGTTATTCTTATTTTCATTAATTATTTTTCCTTGTTTTTCATTATAATAGTTGCTATATGTCATTGTTTACTTTTACGTTTTATCAGTTGTAACTGTTTGTAACTGTCTAACTTTGTTTATGTAGCTATTGTATTTATAAAGACAAGTGACTTATATATAATTATTATTATTGTTATCATTATTATTAATATTATTTTTATTATTTAAACCATTATTATTTTAATCATTTTCATTAGGTGTTTACTTAATATTAGTATATTTACTATTTGTAAACAACCTTGAAATGTATCTATTTCAGAAATATATATTGATTGATTGATTGAATGATTAATTAGTACCCCTAACCAAACTATTGTTTTGAAAGAAATCAAATATACATTCCTAATTATGTCGGATAATCCAGAACCCGAATCTTCTTCTGTTACAAAAACCACCAAACGTTCACAATCAATTGTATGGGATCATTTCACAGTTGATGAGCATGACAAAACCAAGGCCATATGCCAGCATTGTCCAAAGCACAAGAACAAGTATGCTTACAATAAAGGTGGGACAACAAATCTAATGAACCATTTAAATTCTCAACACAAAAGCAAATTACTTGGGGACAGAGAACCAAAGCAACGACGTTTAGATGACATGATAATGACACCAATCGTTTATTCTCCAGATCTATTCAATGAATACTTAGTTAGCTGGATTGTCAAGAATGATCAATCATTTAATGAGGTAGAGTCCAGCCACTTTCGTAAACTACTCACTCTACTGAAACCAAATTTGTCAATCATGAGTGCGCGCCAATTAAAACGCCAGATAATGGACACTTACAACACCAAAAAACAATTGCTAAAGACCCTTTTTTTGAATCTTGACTCAAAGGTTTCATTCACCACTGACTGTTGGACATCACCCAACAACATTGCTTTTATGGGCATAACGGCTCATTACATTGACAAAGACTGGAACCTACATGCCAAAACTCTTGATTTCAAATCCTTGCCTGATTCCCATTCAGGTTCAAATTTATCTAATGCATTCTTGTCAGTTTTGATTGAATTCGGTCTTACAAGCAAAGGAATGGGCATTACCTTAGATAATGCTTCCAATAATAATTCATTTATGGATTTTTTAAATTCCAAGTACGAAATTAAAACCACCTTTGAGCATATCCGGTGTTTTGCTCATGTGCTGAATTTGGGCGCGCAAGCAGGTTTGGATGTTTTGAAAGATGATCTTGTAAAACTTAGAACAGGAATTAAAAAAATCCGATCCAGTCCTCAATCATATTCTAGGTTCAAAGGTTTCCAGCAATCAAATTGCACCTTAAAACCAATACTTGATGTCCCTACAAAATGGAACTCAACAGCTGATATGCTTAAACGAGCAATGAAATTAAAAGTTGGTTTCATTGCGTATTTTTGCGATTTTGACTCAACTGCAAGCAATCCAGACTGTTGTCTATCAATTTCACCAGATGTTTGGAACAGGTTTGAAACAATTGTTTTGTATCTTGAACCATTCCAGGAATTTACCCAGCTCATTAGTGGTGATTCATATTCCACATTGTCTTTGGTGGTTCCTCTCTTCAATATTTTTTTGGATCACATTACTAAATGGATGACCACAAAAACCAACCCTGAAGATAATCTACACCGCTCTACAAGATATTATAATTTGACTAGTGACTGCTTTACTATCTGCACTGTCCTGGACCCAAGATTTGGTATTGAATATTACAAAAATGATAAGGCCGCAAACAGCGAGTCGTATACAAAGATTATGGACACAGTCAATTGTGAATATCAAATCAATTATGCCCCAAGCAATATTACAACTGCTACAAGCATTCAAAACGTTTCAAAATATACCCCGTTCAAATCGCGTGTTTCATCAAACCCATGTAATGAGTTTGAAAACTATTGTAATGATAAAAGTAAGCTAGATGGCGGCAATAATAGCAACATATTACTTTGGTGGAAATCTCGATCTGACAAATATCCAAACCTATCCAGAATGGCCAGAGATTACCTGGCCATTCCTGCTACATCTGTATCATCAGAAAGGCTCTTCTCATTAGGAAAAAATCTTATTACTGACAAAAGAAATCTTCTCTCTGCAGATACCATTCAAGCTTGCCAGTGCTTGAAGTCTTGGTTAGATTAAAAAGAATAAAAGAAGCTGTAATGTGTGAGAAATAGTAACAAATGCTGTAATATGAATTAAATTTATAGATTCAGATAACTAAAATTAATAAATGAAATAAGTTAAATAACGTTCAAATATACATCAAATCTTGGAAAGATTTGAATTTGATCTAAATTCAAAATAGGAAGATTTGAATTTGGCCATTTCAAACATTTGACGCATATTTGATCAAACTATTTGAATTTGTGCCGAACACTACTCATAATATATATATATATATATATATATATATATATATATATATATATATATATATATATATATATATATATATATATATATATATATATATATATACACATATATATATATACACATATATATATATATATATATATACACATATATATATACACATATATATATGTATATACATATATATATATATATATATATATATATATATATATATATATATTCGTCCGATTTATTGAGATATCGAGAATTAATGAATGTTCCTCGAAATATAAATAGTATGTACATATATATAGAACAATATAATCGTATATTTTTGCATATATATATATATATATATATATATTTTTAAATTATACTTCACCTCCTCAAGGCCGAGAAGGCCACTACAGACGAGGAGGCTACTTATTTTGTGGCTATAACCCTCTCTCAACTCTATAACTCCAAAACACGAACCTTGACAAACAAGGCCGCTGCGCAGAGAAACGAGTTGAGCGCGGTACTACCAGGGACATGGTGGGGATCGAACTCGGAACCACTCGTTTATAAAGCGAGCGCTCTACCACTACACCACTACACCACTACCGCATAAATATACTATATATACATATATATATATACGTTTATAGTATTATATATACATATATACTATACATATATACGTTTATAGTACTATATATACATATATAGTACTATATATACTATATATACATATATATATATGTTTATAGTATATACATAGTATATACTAAAAACGAAGAAAGTCCTAAATGGATGTTTGTTTTAAAGTTTTTCTTGATAGCTTTCTTTTAGCAACCTTAGACATTTTTAGTAAATAAAACTTGATCAAAGTATAACCAAATCGAAGATATTAGTGCAAATGTAATTCGTTTTCGAACATTTTAATTTTTGAATTTTAATTGATATTTTTAAATTTTTAATGTAGAAGTTATTAACAAATAGAGTGTAATTGAAGCTTAACTGATTCGAAAGAACTCCATGAAAATGTTTAGCCATGTTTAATTATATTTGATGCAAAAGTATTTTATTTTCAAGCGTTTACAGTTTGGAATTTTTATTGAAGTATAGGAGGTTTTGTTATATGTACTTATATGCAATTAAAAATAATAATCCTAGTTAAGCGAAGTTTGTTGAAGGGACCTCAAAAAACAGTACGAGTTAGCAAATGGTCCAATTTAACCAGGGTATGACTTAAGCGGATGATTTTACAGTAACTTGATAGAGAATGTTCAAGGGGAATTGAAATTCCGTCCGACTTATCCAGGGTCTGAGTTAATGGGATTCAACTGTGTGTGTATATATATATATATATATATATATATATATATATATATATATATATATATATATATATATATATATCCATATAGTGTAGTCGAAAGAGCGTTTTAATGTAAAAAAAGTCTCTTTCGACTACAATTTTAATTACCTCGTCTCTTAAGCTGTTTTTGATTGTTGTTGAAATGTCAAAGCAATTAAATTTATGCGGAAGTACATTAAATTTTATTGTTTTTTTAAAAAACCGCAATTATAACGACTAGAAAGTTTTTTTTTATTAGTGGTGTTTTTGTTTTTGTTTTATTAAAAAACATTTTTAAAACATGCGTAAATGTTGATACATCGACTATCTTATAGCCTGACTCGCAACGGAGCGCTGCTACATCGACTGACAAATAGCCTGATTCGCAACGGAGTGCTGCTACATCGGCTGACAAATAGCCTGACTTGCAAGGGAGTGCTGCTACATCGACTGACAAATAGCCTGACTCGCAAGGAAGTGCTGCTACATCGTCTGACAAATAGCCTGACTCGCAAGGGAGTGCTGCTACATCGACTGAGGGTTTGGTTTGGGCAGGCAGTCTATCATTTTTTTAAAAAAAAAATTTAATTTTTTAAACTTTTTCTGGTCTGGTTTATTAACGCGCTCTTTAAAACTACAGTTTATGGGAAACTCTTTTTCACTACCATGCAAGAGTATATATATATATATATATATATATATATATATATATATATATATATATATATATATATATATATATATATATATATATATATATATATATATAACTTAAAAATATTTCCAACTGGTTCAAAGTAGATTAACTTTCAGTAAATATTGCCAAAACTATCTAGACTATATCACCCGCTTTCCAAAAAAAAAATTAATTTTTTTAATTAAATTCTGTCCTAACAAGGCTGCTAACAAGAAAAAAGCCACTAATTAAGTTAATAAAATGTAAAAAAAAAATGCAAAAAAGATAGTTAAAGAGCAAGAAAGCTCTTGATTTTCAAGTCTTCTGTCAGACCTAAAAAAAGTCAAGAGAATGAGGAATGAGGTGAGCATGAAAGGCAACTTTAGCAAGTATTAACTTTGCAATGGATTCTAAACATAGTTTGTATGAGAGGTTAGTAATGAAGAGTAGTCCTAGAAGATGAAAATTAAAGAACTTGAGTATTGCCATTTATCAACATAGGAATATCAACAATATTGTGAAAAGGGATCAGATTCAAGTTTGGCTGCTTGTACTAAGCCATCAAAAAGTGATGACTTTTTTTGTCAAATTTAGAGTATATAGTTGTGTCACCAGCAAATACCAGTCATCAGCAAATAGAGCCATTTTAGATTTAGAGCCGAGGTAAGATCAGAAAGAACACTAATTAGATAAGGAACACACAGGATCAAGGCTAGAACCTTGCTATTAAATGTTCTAATATACTAATGGTACAATAGTTTCTACTAAAAAAGAAACTATTTTATTACTAAAAATGTCAAGATTTTTAAATGAAATTTAAAATCTGACTAAACTTTGGTAGGAATTATTTTTTTCACTGAAAAAAAATTATTCTAAATTAATTAAAATTATTCTAAATTAATTTAACCAGATTTTGAGTTTTTTTTTTTTTTTTCTGCCTAAAATGAGTTTTAAATGATGGTAATCAGTTTATTTTAAATGATGGTAATTATTTGATAATTATTACTTAAAAACTTTGGCATATAAAATTCGCCGAATGGCCACACACGAGCAGTGAACGCCTGAGGAAAGAAATGAAGTACATTAGAATAAAGGATAATTATTTATTAGACAAAGCATATTTTGACAGTTGTCAAGACAAAGATAAAGATTAATAGAGGAATATTTAAAAATAAATAAGACAAGCTATACAACCAAAACAGTACTCAGCCATAATAACAATAAAAAAAATTAAAAAAAATAAAAACAAATAATAATAAAATATATATATATATATATATATATATATATATATATATATATATATATATATATATATATATATATATATATATATATATATATATATATATATATAAAATAAAAAAAATTGTTTTATAAATACCAATATGAACTAAAATATACAAGAAATACATAACCAGTCAAAAATTTGTAAAACAAAAAACCATTCAACAAATTAAAAATATGCTAACAACAATGAAAGGACTAATAATGGAAAAAAAAAACATTAATGCTAATGTGTAAACATAATTAGTGTAGTGATAAGTAATAAACATCTCCTCAGAGTCGCGTCTATTATTACTGGCATTTCGATGAGGATGATGGTAATTATTTAAATTTTATATAATCTAATCTTTCAAAAACAAAGTAATTATTTGATAATTATTGTTTTAAATGACGGTAATTATTTTTAAATGATGGAATTAGCCACCGAAATTTAGTTCTAGTTGAAAAATATCGAAAAAATCCAAATTATGCAAGCGTAGCAAAATAATTTTTATAATCTATGAGTTATGATTTCAACATGAATTAACATAACAACTTCAACATAATTAGTTTCTGGTATGCTTAATCTACTGATATGTTTATCTAACTCATATTTTTATGTTCATTTAACTGATATGTTTATCTAACTTATGTTTATATATTTTTCTAACTGGTATGTTTATGTGGGTTTTATCAAAAATCCTAATTCAACGTGCTGAGATTTTTCAAAGTTTTTACCAAATTAGCTTGAATAATAAACACAACCTATTGGGTTTAATCAAAGTACACAAATAGATATTATAAATGCAATTTTATTTAGTGAAATAATATAATAAGATACAAATAAATGAATAGCATTTATGTTTCAAGTTATGTTTTATTTATAAGTATAAGAAATAATAATGAACTAAAAGATGAAATTAATCATTTTACGTTCACCGTGTTTAATAACTTAAAAAAGTGATTTTTTTACTAAATTCAAGGTGAGATTTCAAAAAAATAAAAAATTTATTGTTAAAGGTATGCGAAATCTGTTGGTGCCAAGCATTATCATACTTCAGCAAAACTGAATCGCGGAATCGAAGAAATGTTTCTTGATCTAACGAAAAGTATATTTATGTTGATATTTATTTTTCTGTTAGTTATTGCTGCATTTATATTAACTAAAATAAGCTTATACTTTCAAATTATTATATTGATTTTTGTTTCTACTTTATATAAAATGGAAAATATTTGTGTAAATTATTTTGTGCTTAGTTTATTAAAAGATTTTATTTTTGAACTCGGTTTTGATTTTCAGGTATGGTTGAGAAGCAAACTCTCGAGGAGGCTGAAATTGAATCCAATCCAAATTCTGCTAAAGCCAAAGAGCTATCTCTTCGTAAAAAAAACGTTGTAATAATTGAGGAAGAACCTCAAAAAAAATCAGGATGTTGCTCATCGAAGTGAAAAACTATTATGTCGCTTAGATAAATGAAATTTTACTTAATGGTCAAAAAGCTAATTGACTAATTCAAATGCACCTGAAAACTAATAAGTGAAAAGCGGGATTACTCTTGAAGTTGTGTTTAGTTTTATGTTAAATGTAGTCTTTGTAGCTGCATCAAAACAATTTAAAACGCGAATCCGAAAACTGACCCAAACTCTCTTTTTCTTTGTTTGAATCGTTGCTTGAATATATTGAAATTTTTGCAAAGTTGTTGAAAAAGCTCTTAAATGTCAGTTAAAAATTTTTTGTTATTGTTTTTGTTAATTTTTTAAAATAAATTCTGTAAATTAATTTTAACGCTAATGAAAATATCATAATTGAATTTGTACATTAAAAGCATTTATCTAACAGTATTACTCCCATCAGCAAAACATAAACATCAATGCTGAAGTATTCATGAGCAGAAATTTTATTTAAACATAGGAATCAGTTTTACGATACTATAACCAATAAAATGATTCAAAATGATTTGATGCATTATTCTATTGTTGTTGTTGTCAGTGGCGTAGGAAGGTTTTTGAATGTTTGAAATAACCAACTTATAAACAACAAGAATATTCCAAACTTTTTTACGTTTATATGTATGACGGAAAGATTATTTAAAAAAAAAATCAAGGAAACCTATAATCTAAGTTCCCCCCTCCTCCCTGCCCCAAACGTGAGAGCAACAAGTTGATGAAATATTTTTTGAACTATTTTCAACTAGATTTATATTCATCGAGAAGTTTTAAATTTCATAGTAAAATATTTAAGTATTCAAAAATTATGATCATATAAAGTTTAACCCCCTCAATTTGAGGGGGTTACAGGGGGGCTAAGAATTAAGGGTTTCTTGTTCCTATTCTTCTATCACAGTAATTTTTTTTTAATGAATCTTTTCGTCATACATATAAACGTAAAAAAATTTGGAATATTCTTGTTGGTTATTTCAAACATTTAAAAATCTTCCTACGCCACTGGTTGTTGTAGTTTTGTTGTATTTATACTTTAGAATTCACATTTTAATAATACAGTAATGGAATTCACATTATAAAATACAAGAATAAGTTCTTATATAACACATTTAAAAGATTCTCTGTTAAATGTGGTTTGTTTAAAAGTTTGTAGTAGCTTCTCATTTGTAAACAGTAACCTCGCGAGCTTGTTGTGTCATCTCGACTACTACAGGCTAGCTATGTAACTGGAGAGGTAAATACAGTAGAAAAATTAATAATTGCAAAGATTGCTGTTGTTTTTCAAATCGTTTTTTATCCGTATCTAAATTGATTTTGAGTTTTTTGAGTAAAACTCGCTGTTATCATCAAAGCCGCCTTTTTTGTCCTTCAATAAATTATCATGATGCTATTGCAATTACATTTTTTGGATTTATATATATTTTTTGTCATATAAGTTTATTCAAGTTGTAAAACATAATATAAATACAAATAGCAGGGGTAAGAAAAATTCATATTTTGTCTCATCACCAAGTCTATACCGTAAATATAAAATAACAAAAATTAAAAAACGGTTTTTGTATTGGTTAAAAGAAAATTAAATACAAAAGAAAAAAAAGTATTTAGTATAATAAAAACTCTATTATTAAAAAGCATGCAGGCAAATGCGCATAATCCTAAAGCTTTCCTTTGTACACCAGCATATACCTTGAAATATCTGGATACATCTTATAAACCATAAATTTTTTATAAAAGAATAGTATAATAGTATAGTAGCAATTGCTTTAAGTTCATAGTTGATATTTTATTAGAAAATTTTAGCACTTGGCAGTAGAAATTGAAAATTCAGTCGCAGCAAAATAACTTTTAGGTTAAATATAACTGTTATATATATATAAATATATATATATATATATATATATATATATATATATTAAAAAAATTCGCTTCCAATAAGGCTGCAAGCAACCACTAATTAGTGTTGGAAGTTACTGGAAAAGAAAAGATGAAGATTGTAGAGCAAGATAACGAATGACAAACAACAGTACAAGGCCAGATTTGAGATTTTTTTTTTTTTTTTTTTTATTTATTTCGTCAGTAAAAAAAAAAGAATACAATGTCGTGTAAAATAAATAAGATCAACATGACCGGTGTCACGTTAAATAAGTAGATCGTTAAATTAGTAGACAAAATGATATTCTGCGCATGCGTTAGTTTACGGATACTTATTTAACGTAGTAAGTCACGTTAAATAAGTAGATCGTTAAATAAGTAGACAAATTGAACAATCAAGGCATTATATGTTAACCCAGACGAATAAATTAAAAAAAAAACATACGTTAACCGAACTTTAGTTCGGATAACGTATTAAAAGCATTTACTTTTTCACGGGAAATATTGTTTTACAGCATTTTTATAGTGATAATTTACACTTAAAAATATTTAACTCACGATGTATATTCTATTCGAAATTTTATCTTTGTTGAATAGTATAACAAGAAACATATTTTTTAGCAAAAGTTTTATTTTTCCTAGGTCACTCACTGGATAAGTGTACTAAAGCAGACATACTTTAATGATATCAACAATTTTCTAGTAGCTGATAAGAAATGAAATAGTTATTTCATCACACGTGCAAATTTATTGCACTCTTTGGTTATTGAACAACTTGCGCATTTTAGTAAAATTAAGCAAACTATCAGAGTGCAACCCGTAATACGGGTTATGGTCGGTTTGTTACAGAATAAATTGTGAATTTATAGCTAGTGTGCCAACTTTGTGTTCAATTTATCTGACATTTTACACGACCCTCGAGCTGTTTTCCACATTTTATTTTAAAGTTGAGAAACCTTAACTTCAGAAATAATTGATCTATACCTTTTTAGAGAAACGCCTTTAAATTGAGGCTATAAAATAATTTATCAATTAATATCTATCATTATTTGAATAATTTACAACTGACTTAGGTCATGTTAGTTTGAGGCAGAACCATATTCCTCGACATTCCCAAAGTTCAACACAATAAGTTTTTAGTTACTGACACAAATTAATTAAATTATTAAAAAAATTAAACTCTTCATCATGGTTTAAATTGACGAAAATATAAAGTAACTTCTTGTAATATTTTTTATAATAACATGAACTTTAATAAAGATTATGTGTTAACTTCTGTAATGCAAGAGCTATTAATTTTATTAGTTTATTATAAATAACTAAGCAATTAATGAAAAAAACGTTTTAAACAAAAAATTTTAATTTACAATCAAACATGCTATCACAAATAAGGAAAAATATGTAAACTTTGATCTTTCATATTGCATCAATGCGTTATATGACAAACCTAAAATAAAAATTGTAACAGGTAATTAGATATAAAAGAAAAGAAAAAAAAAACTAGAAAACAATTTACCTGCTTTTGGTAACCTGTTGCGATACTGTAGTTGCTGTCGTGATGCAGCAGTTCTTGTCAGTGTTGTTTAATGTTGTTATTTCATGTTGGCTTTTACTAAACTTTAGTTAACTTAAAAAGACACCACAATGGATTTAAAATATTATTACTTAAAAAACAAAATATAAAATGCTTCAAGGATCCAAACTATAAACATTAAAGATAAAAAACGAAATTGAGATAAAAATAAATTGTATTTAAATAGCTAAATATTGTCTTGATTTTTAGTAAATTTTAGAAGCAGTCAGTTCAATAAATGAAAGTCCTAATGCATAACTTTTAACAATAAAATGCAGCATCACTACATTAGAATAGCACAATAATAATAAAATACCAGGACCTAAATTTAGTTTACTATTTCTTACTGTGTGAATGTTTTAAATTAAAACGACATTGAAGAAAAGACACACTTCATACTAAACTGAAACTTTTTTTTGAAAATAAGAACAAACTTGGGCATTTTCGGAAAAAAATTTTTGCACATGGAATAACAATCCTATATAGTATAGAAATATAGTATAACATAAATAGTATACTTAAATCGTAATGAAAAAAAAAAAAAATGAAAAAATACCTGCTTTTGTGCCACAAAAGTACTTAACAACTGCATTGATCAATATATGTCAAAAAAAGAAATCTAAGTGTGTGCCAGAAGGATTTGAATCTTTGAATCATTCAAATTGTTTTAACATTCATTAACATGAATGTTAAAAATGTTAAAATAGTCATGGCATCTACATGTGAGAACTAAGTCTAAACTTTCACAATATTCTATAACAAATTGATTAAATATCTAATTAAAATTAAAAATAACATAATTGTAATTTTTAGTATTACTCTTGTCATAGTAGTAGTAGTAGTAGTAGTAGTTAGAGTTAACTGCTACTACAACAAATGCATGTAAATAAAGAACTGACTTTAATAACTGCAGCTATTAACTATGTCTTATATCAACAACCCTAGTTGATAAAATAAATAACTGATAACAATAAGAAATAAACAACTACAAAGTTAAAAAATAGCAAATCGTCATGCTAATAACAAAATAAAAAACCAAGCAATAGTTGACCTAAATTAGCCAATTATACAACTTTGAACATCTATAAGACATAAAAAAAAAAAAAAGAAAATAATGAACTTAACTAAAACATAAAGTACATAAACAAACCGACAATAAAAAACAATGAAAACTTTTTTATGCATATAGGTTGAATTTAAATATTCATAAAAGTCATAAAAGCAAAAAGACACCAGAAATAACAAGATACATTCCCCTTAATGATGTAAGAGGAATTATAAATCCATATTCAGAAAAACTTGAATGACAATCAATTATTATTTTTTTGTCTGCACTTACAAAAATGATTGCAATCAATAGAAAAGGCACACCTTTTATGACCATCTAAAACAGTAACAAATGGAAACATCTCTAATTTACCATTCTCAATACATTTGAGGTAATGTTTCCTCATATCATTATGTTTCCATATGATTAAACTTGGGTCGATACCATTACACAAAGCTGTTGCATTTGCTATCGCAAAAAGCCCACAATCATTTCCATTTTGTTGCATTTGACAATCCATTACTTCAACAATTAAAGAACTGCTTGTATGACAATTCAAGGAGGAACGTGCAACTGTATGCACTAACAATGGTACATCACATTCATTTGAACTATTAAAGAGTGAATCATAGAACTGAACACACTTTGAATCTGAAAGATCATCAGAAGATACATTACTTAAAAGCACCCAATGTGAATTTCTAATATTAATTATTTGTATAAAACTGCAACTTTCTGAATAACCACCTGAATTAAAACAACTTAAAATACATGAACTTTGAAATCCAGATATTTTAGGAAACTGGTATGAAAGCAAACTTTGTGCTATATCAATCAAAGTGTCGTCGAGCCAGCCAGATGGGTTTTTTAAAATATCTAAGGCCTTGTTTTTACACTGTGTTGACAATTCAGAATAAAAATTACTGGCAACAGGAATTGCACAAGAAACTTTAGAAAAATTTAAACTTCTACAGCTACTATTAGATTTAACACTTTTTACAACACTATCAACTGGCTTCAC